ATCTGCGAATCGTATCCGCCCCCGTGAAGTCTGCTGTGATTGGTTGTTGAGTTACTCTTCGTCCTTGTTTTTCTCATGACCAATATTACCGATGATGTCCTTAATTGTGGTGGACTGGATTCTGCGTCAGACTGTGCACAGGGAGTGAAAAGACAGGAATACGTTGGACTGACCAACAAGAAGATTATGGAATATCTGGATTTATACATAATGTCACACAAATAAAATTAGTATTTATGTGGACTCCAAACTGAGCTACAATATGAGCGAAATGTCACATTTGCAATCTGGTTAGATAGGACATATACTAAAATCTTATTCAACAGAAAATTCCCTGATAAGATGCAAACAGAGAAAAAACATGATGAGTTGACCAAGTCTGTGATAGTTTGAAGTGCGAAATCCTCCTTATGCACAATAGGCAATCTACATAGTCCTTGTGGTAATCAACAGATTAGATTATGCTGATAAACTAACTACCTGTCATGCTACCAAATTCCTCAGATCCTTCGACCAGAAAACCTCCTTACAAAATTACTGCAGAAAACGAAAACAGAGTCAGTCATAAGACTATACCTGTATGAACAAATAAGACCGTGCGGGCCAATTATTCGAGACTAATATGCACTAAGCGTTAACTTTTGACATATTGCCATAATCACGCCATTCTTAAAAATAATGGAAAACCTGAGTTCCCTTAAACTTAAACCTTCATTGAAGGCTTTTAACGACCATAAACATATTAGGTGTACAGTAGACGCCACTATTGTTTTATGCCATAATATTGTCTCCGACCTAAACAGAGGCATCGAATATGTTCTCCATGCCCCCTTTTTTTACACATCTGCCTTGAACACTCTACGTAGGCCTCTGTTTTTGCTTGCTCTGACACAAGCAATATTCTGGTTTAGTAAGTGGTTGTGTGGTGAATGCTACTTATAACCAGATACAAGTAGTATATCAGTAAACGACTTCAGAAAAGCAGCGATATGTTCCCGACACTGGAAAAAGCAATCGAAGAACAGAACTGTGAAAAAAACGTTGGAAACACTGTTTAGAACTAAGAAAGCTATCGAATGTGGCGATATTCGACCAATTTCCAAAAGATGTGTAAATAAAGCATTGGAGATACGGTGTACCAAATTTATGTACCTACAATCAGTTTTTCCTAATAAAAACATCCCTTCGAGCCTCATCGGTCTTTTCTTCCTCACGATTGTACTCTGACTTTTCTGATAGGAAGCAGTACACTGTTTACTATGAGAAGTCTTCCATCAACTGTAACTAATGTTCGTCAAGGTGCTTTGGTTTCTCCTTTCCTGTTTTCCTTCTTCTTACATGACTTGCCGAGTTTAAGGAAGCCGACTTCGCTAAGTGTGCCAATGATCTGATTGTTTCCATGCCCATTAATTCTCAGTCAGACTGTTACAAAACTGATAACTTTTTACTAGAAATGGGTAAGTGCTCCTCTTCAATTAGTCTTAAACCTAATTCCTCCAAATGTCAGGTGGTTTATTTCACTCTCAGACGCAAGTGCGACTTACATGAAGTGGTTGGTTCGCATGGTTCTATTTTCATAGATGGCACAAAAGTCGGAACTAAATCAAATGTTAAATACCTTGGACTGTGCATTCCCTCTGATCTTTCCTGGTCTTCATACATCATGTTGGTTTCCGGAAAGATATTTCGTCTGACGTTCTTCGTTAGGAAAATAAGACAATCTAGTATCACTCAGTTTCCACTTTTACAATTTGTTAATTTTTGTATTCCACCTATTCATCTTTATTGCTACCCGCCACTCTTTCTTTCCTAGACCACTTAAGAAAGACTTTATTACGCTGTGAAGGGCGCTAAAACCCGTCAGTTGGCCAGTGGGTTATCGCTAAACCAACTCCTTACTATTGTTGTAGACAAACACATGGACTCATGCAAGAAATTAACGAATATTATCCTGTTAGACCCTTGAGCATCCTCTCTATACGCAACTCTCTCTTTGCATCTCATCAGGTAGAACTAGAGGCAAATATGGAAGACTTTATGCTCGGACGACTAAGTACAAAACTCTACAATGCCTTATTTAGCACGCATTTTATGTGATGAGAGGAGTGTATGACAGAGAATCACCAACTTACTGCGTAACACTAAGTAAACGGCCCTCTGTTTTCCTTCTTTTCATAACTTTACCGTTATTACCATTTTCACTCAATCTAGTTTTATTTACATATTGAACAAAATTAAGAATGTAAATGCCCTGTTTTAATTATTACAACTGTGAGGTGATAATTAGATGCAATATCGTACTGTACGCTGAAAATTCCCTATTTGTACCAAAACACTGCTTGGAATAGAGCTATTATTATTATCACCTAAAAGGAAGAAGAAGGATATTCCACTTTGACCTGTTGTGGAAATGCTCGACTCACAGTGTAGGATTAAATTTGGCTACAGGTATTTTGTCCTCACTATCAGTACTAACGATAGTGTCTAGTCCTCACTACAGGTAAAACCCAGGTGACCTAATGTAAACTTTGTCTGCTTCTAAAATATAGTGGAATAAGAAAATCACACAAAAATAACAATACAAAGGCAACTTTTCTTCAAGGAGGGACAAAGACTTACTGAACAGCATTAATGTGTAGAACAAAATGGTTAGAGAATTACATTTACGTACATATAAGAAATGGAATACAACACTCATTCAAGTTCAAGCACCAGTGGTGGGAGTTTACATTAAAATAACCAATAATCACATGATAATCACGAGAGACAAGGTCAGGTCATACAGATTGGTGGACTGTCCTAAAGTCTGTCTCATGATTAACACGCCATGTCATCATGTCGTGAATCACTAGCAGATATCCTCGAGAGCTTACGTAGAAATGTGACTAGATGTAGTCTTAAAGACATTTGATTTCATCGAGTCAGTGGAAGATATCAATGTGTTGGAAGGCAAGCCCTCTCTCTCTCTCCAGATGTTACCTCCCTATTCACAAGCATCTCCTTAACTGAAACAGTATGCCACATATGCAACTACATAAATCCAAATGTTCCTCTTCCCACAAACTACCAGATGGAACTATTTCTCAGATGGATATTCGACATTCAGTTCAGATTCAGAGAACAATTCTCCGTACAGAAAGATGGTGTGGCTATGAGGTCTTCTCTTGGTCCACTCTTAGCTTACTGTCTCAAGGTGAGTCTTGAAAACATCGTCGATCTTTGCATCAATCAGCAACATATCTAGATGTAGATAACATTTTGATAATTCCTGATGAAAACTTTGGTCTAGACAACGTCCTCAACACTTCCAACGCAGCACACCCTTCAGCAAAATTCACCTTAGGACGCGAATCAAACATACCTTTCCCATTCCTGCATGTGCTACTTACTAGAAGAAAAGACAACTCTATCTAAAGATTAATGTTTAACGGCAAAACAAAGAAGCATATGGCAACGAAATTATTTATTGGCAACTTGATGTTCAGACATATGCGGAATACGTCTACCATATACTAGAATCATAACTTGCACTTATCTTCGGTATTGTGCTACTTTCGCTTTCCGTATTGTGCATCTGTCTTCCTTTCCATGTTGTTTCACAAGCATCTTTCATCTATTCTCTTCGCATTGGACCCAACTCTCCGCTATTCCGTATTCTTGAATATGATATACATATTTGCATCTGTATCCATACGCTACTTGTAAATCCTGTCAGTAGCACACGCCACAAATATATTGAAAATCAACATGGACTGAACAGTCTATTAACTTCCAGAGCTTTGTCCCACTTGTCCGAAAACAAAACTTAGTAAGTACGCTATGCTTAAAGATTCGAAAAATCTGCTCATAAGATACGATAGAAACTGAATTAAAATCTCTACCCTACTGAAAAATGTATATCCACCTAGGATAAGATACCGCTATTGATCACCTCAATCTGTATTTTGCAGTTTACTTGTTCTTATGGGGCAAAGTGTATCGGCTGTGCATAGCATCAAGTTCGCAAACTTATTCTAGAACACTATTCAGACTGACTAGTCAGAGGAGAAAAGAACACCAGTAGTTCCATTCTCGTACACCTTGTCAACTCTGGATAGTGGACACCCCCTGCATGATTGCTTCACAGTGCTATACAAAGTTCCCCAATACCACACGAAATGGCTTCGAATATGTAATTTATACATAGCTATTCGGGACCTTAAACCTAGCCTCTGAGTTTAAAAGCACTGTATACACCTACTCGCCATGACGTGGCTACAGTAACGTTCTGACCATAATTTTATTTCATTTTCTTGTCTAAGTTTTTATTATTTTTATTATCGTTATTCTTATTTTACAACCACTTTTATTGTTTAATAGTAACACTACATTTTCATACAGGTTTTATATAAACACCTTACCGTCTTTCCACTGGCTTTTGTCCATCCACACTGATTAGTTATTTTTCACACTTACTACGTAATTCAAGCTTGTGACTTCACTCAGCCATCCATTTCTAGATTACAGCCCACATTATGTGATACATTTTCTAGAACATAGTTACCAGTATCAGATTGGTTTCATGATATATTTGCTAAATATAAATACGACCATACAGCTCTTGAAAATGATTCATCAAAAAGAAAATCTTTATTATGTAGAAATTCCACAGCATGTAGATTAGGGGATACTTGTAAGTCACATTTGAAACTTGTGGTCAATGTATGTAAAGAAATATCGCTACGCAACCGTTTTTAGTAACAATTGTTAACTCTTCTGTCACCGTTAAGAACACATCAATATGCTAAAAAACGTACATTGACTCAAAAATAAACAGACATTCACTATGTACAGAAAAAATTTAATAAAACTTTAATTTGAAAGATTTCGGCGAAAATATTTCGCTAATGATTCGCTTGGGGGAAATAATTTTGACAGTATTCCTATTCATTCCCAAAATAAACATGGTACAATGAACAAAAGAAAGAATGAATTAAGATCTACAAGGTAACGACTGACAGTTAGATTGTGTACAAAAATACAGAATGTGGTCCATCATTAATTACTCTGCATGCTTCCTTGTTAGGCAGTGGGTATCTAGCTGTAACTACAATCGATCCAGCTCGTAATTCTTTGTTCAGCTTCTGTTCTATCGAATTCATCTACAAATACAAAAGTTAGCAAGGAAATAATGATTAGGATTTTCTTTAAATCGATGGATTATTAAGAAGTTATTCTAGAGCTATAACATGGGAATTACAGATTCTATTGCTGAAGCACTTGCACGACTTATAGCCGTCAGGGTACACAGTTATCCTTGGTAATTTTATTTATTTATTTTTCAAAATTTTATTATAGCTTGATTCCACACAGTATTTTGGTACAAGTATGAAATTTTCAGCATGTGATATCGGTAGCCCAAATTTAGCAGGCCGACCATAGATATCAGGTGTGCGTCGGCGGGGGATCGAACGTGCAATGTTTAGACTTCTTTACCTTTAACATGATGTCTACTGGTATTTCTGTTCCCAAATTCAAGAAATCAAGTGAACAGTCGTATATGCACACCACGTTTCTTAACCACAGTTTCATCTATTTCAGCGACTAAATCCCGACCATTTGTAGTATCTGATTTTGCTTTATAAGAAAGTTGTTCCAGCTAGTCACCAAGTCTTATAGTTTAATAATCAAAATACCAGGTCAGCTCGGTGGTCAACCAAATCTAATAAACATTACTGCATTAAACTGAATTGCATTAAATTTACAACAGATGGTTCAATTGCAAATTAACTTGAATAGGTTTATTCAGGAAATATCATTAGATTGGTTAATGTAAGTGTAGAACGTGGACACAGTGGTAGAATGTAGTTCCATATTAGATAAGTTTGTTTGAAATAACACACAGTGATGCAGTGTTAATAACTGGATGACATTTCCAACACAAATTACTGCCCATGATCATATCAAATTGATGTGATTATGAGCAATAATTTGAGCTGAAAACGTCATCTAGATTGAATAGTCACTGTTTGACACAAGCTTACCATTGAATCAACACCAAATAATAAGACTGTGTCATACACGGAGAGATTAGTCTTCCAAATATTTCCGCATGTAAAAGTCACTTTAGGTGTAGTCGGCAATTCGCTAACGCGAAATAGCTTGAAACGTGAGTACCAAACCAGTGGTCGATTCAGCTCTACTCCATGGGCAGAACAAATTTTCAATTTTGGTCGAGTCAGCAAATCAAGTAACTAAAAGCAAAAATGAAGAATAACATTAGGAATACAATTATTATTATCCAAGAAACTATGATTTCTTGACAAACTTAACAATCGAGTTTGTTCCTACGACAATATTATTATTATTTCCTTTAATTCCTAGAGGAACATAGGGCTTCAGCCGCGCGTCTCCATTGTGTTCGGTTCTCTGCTAGAGTTTTCACGTGGCTCCAAGTCTGCTCACACGTTTCCATCTCCTCTTCACATGACCTCCTCCAAGTCAACCTTGGATGACTAACTAGCCACTTCCCTTTCGGGTTCCACTCGAGGGCTTGCCTAGTGATGTCACTTGATGGTTTCCTCAGAGTATGGCCAATCCACCTCCATTTCTTCCTGCCTATTTGTTGCACAATCGGTTCCTGGTTGGTTCGCTCCCAGAGATCCCTGTTGCTGACCTTTTCTGGCCATCTGATCTTGAGTATTGAGCGAACACAGCTGTTAATGAAGGTCTGTAGTTTGTTTGAGGTGCTCTTTATGATGCGCCAAGTCTCTGATCCGTATAGTAGGTAGCACTGACTTCACATTGGAGTTGAAAATACGGATCTTATTTTTGACACTGAATGCTGTTGACCTCCACACAGACTTGAAAGTGATGAAAGCTTGCCTTGCTTTCCCAATCCTTGCTTTGATATCCTCGTCAGTTCCGCCTGTAGTTGAAACGATGCTTCCCAGGTAGGTAAAGGAGGTTGTTTCTTTCAGGTTCCTCCCATTTATGCTTATTGTTGTCTGTTGTTGTTGCTGCTGTTGGTGTTGGCTAGGAATGTTCATCACCTCTGTTTTCTCTATGTTCACCTGAAGGCCTATCTTTGATGCTTCTCCTGCCAACTTGTAGCTTTTCACTTGCATATCTTCCAGTTTGTGGGAAATCAGACATATATCATCGGCGAAGTCCAGATCCTCCAAGATTTTCGTTTGAGTCCATTTCATGCCTGTTTCCTCATTGCCCGCTGTTTGTCGCATTATCCAATCTACTGCAATCAGGAAAATCATTGGCGATAGTAGGCAGCCAGCGTTGTCTTACTCCTGTCCTCACTTCGAAGGATTCCGTAAGTTTCCCGTTGTGGATTACTTGGCATGCAGCATTGTCGTACAGCTGTTGGATGAGATGTATAATTGTCGGTGGCACCCCATAGTAGCGAAGCAGTTTCCAAATCACCTCTCGATAGACGCTGTCGAAGGCCTTTCCAAAGTCAATGAAGTTGAGATAGAGAGGTGACTGCCATTCCAAGCTTTGTTCAATGATGATCCGTGGTGTGGCGATCTGATCAATGCATGACTTGTTTCTCCTGAATCCATCCTGTTCCGGTCGAAGTTTTTCATCCAGGGCATGTTTGATTCTCTCCAGGATGATGCGGCTTAGTATTTTGCTTGGGATGGACAGGAGCATAATTCCGCGCCAGTTCTTGCATTGACTTAAGTCTCCTTTCTTTGTTAGTTTGAATAAGTATCCTTTCTTCCAATCCTCGGGTACTTTGCCTTCTTTCCACACCTTCTCCAGTAGTGGCGTCATCAAGTCCACTGTTGTCTCTGGGTCCATTTTCAACGCTTCTGCTGGGATTCCATCTGATCCTGCTGCTTTTCCAGCTTCTAGCATCTTGATTGCCTTCAGGACTTCTGATTTCATCGGGGGGCTAATGTTCACTGGTAGTTCTGCTTCCGTGGTTGGTATTGTTGGGCGGGTTGTAGGTGGTGGTCGATTTAGGAGTCTTTTGAAGTGTTCAGCCCAGTGTTTCCTTTGCTCCACTTCTTTGATGAGTGACTTTCCATTGTCATCCTTCACTGGCTCAATTTGTGTCAAACTTTTGCCCGATAGGTACTTAGTTGTTTGGTAGAGTGTTGCGAGGTCTCCTTTGCCTGCAGCTTGTTCTGCTTCACTTGCCATGGCTTCATAATATTTTCTTTTGTCTTCCCTGGCACTCTTCTTTACTCTTTTGTTCAGTGTCTTGTAGCTTGCATTCAAATCCTGTTTTTGTTGCTCGTCGGTGCACTGGAGAATCTTTTGTTTCACCATCTTTCTCTCTTCTATCAGTCTCCAAGTATCCGTAGTGAGCCACTGTTTGTCCTGTCTCTTCTTTCTGACAAGAACTTTCATGCAGGTTTCGCTCCACACTGCTTTCAGGTTGTCACAGTGCTTTTCGACACTGACCTCTTCACTAGTGTTGATTTGTGTCTCGTCCTTTTCCCTTATGCTTGCAGTAAAGATGTCCTTTGTATCCTGGTCCTTCAGTCTTTGAGTATTGAACTTGGCTTGTGGTCTATCTGCAGCTCCTGTTTCTCTGAAAGCTTTTAATTTGATTTGGATTGTCCCTTTTACGAGATAGTGGTCTGATTCAACGTCTGCTCCTCCTCTTACTGTTGTGTCCAGTAGGTTGCGCCTCCACTTCCTTGAGATTGAGATGAAGTCAATTTGACGTTTGGTCCGGCCATCTGGTGACACCCATGTAGCCTTGTGGATATCCTTGTGTTTATATACGCTGCCACCAATCACTAGTTCATTGAAGGTGCAGAAGTCGACGAAGAGTTTCCCATTTTTTTCATCTCTCCGAGAGTTTCTTTACCCATGATGAGTTTCCTTCCTGTGTTGTCTGGACCCAGTTTGGCGTTCATGTCTCCCATTAGTATTGTAATGTCACCAACTGGAGTATTGTCCATTGTTGCCTGTAGTTTTCTGTATAATTCTGCTTTCTTTTCGAGGTCTGTGTTATTTGTGGGTGCATAGCATCGTTTAACTGACACTTTCCTTCCTTTGGAATTGAGTCTGGTGGTCATTATCCTGGGCGAGATCGCCTCCCATTGCATCAGAGCCTTCGTTTCCATTGGTGACATCATGATAGCCACGCCCTTGGTGTGCGTGTGGTTGTCTTCTGGGTGATCGGAATAGATCACTGACTCTCCCGTTGACAATTTGGTGAGTCCATTCCCGTTCCATCTGCTTTCACATATTCCCAGTACTTGAATCCCGTATCTTTTCATCTCGTTTGCAACCTGGGCGCCTTTGCCAATCTCGTACATGGTGCGGACGTTCCATGTCCCCACACAGACTTTTTCTTTTGGCGCAAGGAAATTCATCGTACTGAAGTTTCTGTAGCAGCTTTGTTTACAGGGTGGGGTTGCTAGCCTCACGCCTGAGTGGGGTGGGGGTTGTTTCATTAACATATAGTTTACAGAGAAGCCACCTTGTGGGTTGATCCCCTTGAAACCAGGAAAACAAGGAGTAAAACAACCAGAACAACACCAGCGAAGGAAAATAATTCACAACAGGAAGGGCAACAAGCGACAACAACGATAAAAAAAACCTTAGCAGTAGTATCGAAGTCAGAGACAGTTAACAAAAAAAATGAGTACTAAATAAATGACATTTGCATAATAACCCCCTAAAAACCTTAGTGTACATGATGAAACTGACCCTTAAACACTCGACTTGAATAATTTCTGTTGTCAAAGAGAGAAAAAATGCAATAAACAGCGCAATTACGGATCTTTGAATAGTGTGAAGTGTAAATGAAATCAAGTTCAGAGATGGAAAATTAATACCTGAAAAGCGGAAACTAACTTTGCGCTTTTCAGATGATAATCCGCATTCAAGAACACAACTTATATGTACTGACAATCACATACACCAAAATACCATCTATATACCATCTGCTTACTTCAATACTTTAATACTTAATTGGCTTTTGTCAAAACTTAGATAACAATACACCGATAAACTGAGACACTAATAGGTATTAGAAGTATGAGTTCAAAAAACTAAAATAATTGCATGAACGACATAGTAATGATGATTTCGGACGCCGATAATTTATTTACCACGCACAGTAGACGATTGGAACGTTGGAGAAGAAACTTTCAGTAGCAATTCAACTAGCCTGCAGCAACGCTAAATTCGCCGAACGTTCCAAGCATACTTAAATGGGATGAAGACATCGATTCCCCAACTTTAACTGAGGTTGACCCCGATCGACTTCGGCAGCCTGTGTATTGACCTGATACCAGGAAACAGTCTCATTGATCTTAAGTATACATATAAAATATCCCGCCTAGTTGGAAACGACAGAAAAATGCAAAATCTCCTAAACACCTCGAGCAGCAGATGCTGCTGCAAAAGTGGTCTGAAACGATTCGTATTTTGGAGACAGAAAGTAGGGTGTTTGATCGTGTTGATTAGCTCACTTATTTGGGAAGTTGCATCCGTCGAAATAGACTGATTACTGACAGCACAGATACAAAAGATTCATGTAGCATTTGCAAACTTACGACATCTCTGACGTAAACGTCATACCCGGCTATCGATAAAAGGGACGTATGTACTGTGCAGCAGTTCATTTTGTTCTTCATTACTGAGATAGGATTATTAAAAGTGGAAAATATGGAAAGACTAACCACCTTATAACACGGGGGTTTGTGTTCAGTCTTTCATGTTGGGTAGTATATTACAGTTGGTATTACTCAGACTAAGCGTAGTGTTAGGTAGGGAGGGAAAGTCAATCCGTGAACCTGCAAAAATTGGGATACTTAGTACACGCTATGCATGTCAAGTCATTGGTTTTCTTGTCCATCAGCGTAGTTGACATAGGAATGAGTTAGAAAAGAGTTAAAGATGGACAAATCAAGATCCGGTATAAATCTATGAAGTCTTTGACTGTTGGTTTGGGTCAGCCACGTAGTGATGTGTAGACCGCCTCGTTGGGTCCCTCTAAATGCTAAGAACTAATGGCTGGAGACAATTGGTGATATGGCTCAGGACCGTTCTAAATACCGCAGATGCCTGTGATCTCCCAAATCCAATAAATCCTCACTTTTCTTTCAGCTGCACATTTCAGTTTCTCACAGTTTCCTTACATTTCTTTTTTTCTATCTGTGTTCAGGTCAAAAATATGATTCTAGCATTTAGCTCCACGAATGAGCTAAATAAATCTCATTACAACACTTAGCAAATATACCCAACCTTATAAAAACTTAACTCTTAGGGCTATAAATACAATCCATTAAAAGAAAAGTAGGAAGAGGAAAAAGATCAACTAACCACACGTCCATCACCACTGCCGAGGTCGACCACTGATCCCAAAGACCTGTCAATTCGTCGACTTTGTGCATATTTCAAAAGCTTGTAAGTGTTGTCTAGTTGTGGAGACGTAGCAGGTAAGAATGGCAAACAAAATTTTCGAAATGCAGGAGAAACAAAGGACCAAAACACATAGTATGCAGTAACAGTTGTGACACCACATCCAACAATTACAGCGTTTCGAAATTTAGTACGTTTATTTAACTTTTCCTCTGTGTTAGAATAACCAAATACGGGCTCCAATGGAGTGCCTGAACTCATCTACAAAACTGAATAAAAGAATCGTGATGAGGTAATACAAAGTTTATTACAGCGGTGAATATTTATTTACGTTATATTTCCATTTGAACAATCATTATTTTTTTCTCATTGACTACGGGGATTTAGTGGATTTTGATGATACTACTCTCACCTTTTATTTTTCTCCTTTGAAAGAAAGAAACTTGGGAATTTCGGTAGGGTATAATTCCATCATACAGCAAATGTATCTGAAAAGACTACACAGTGATACAGTATTATTGAGTGACGACATTCATTCATCCCTACATAACCTTCAAACGTCATCTACATAACTGTATTATTTCTAATCCTTTAGTTTCATTGGGAGTAATATTTTTCATATCGCTGGTATTGACGTTGTACCATTCCCATTGCAAGTGTTAGGTGTGTATTCGGTGAATAACGATTCAGCGACCAACCTCATCCTTAAAATACCTACATTCCGTTTAAGAATTGTTTCATTGTCCCACAACATTGTGTGATTGTGTAAATGCATACATCGCGATTGCCGGGTTTTTCTCTAAAGTATTCACTTTACAGGAGTCAATCTTCCTACATCTAGCTAAATTCTTATGATCTGATAATCTGACTACCGCCGATCTACTAGTTTGACCTATGTAGTTGACCTCACAGTCATTGTAAAGCATTTTGTAGATTAAACTACTTTGTCTAATCGGATAAATAGGGTCCTTTAACCTGCGGAGCTTGTCCCTGAGTGACTTTGTGGGTTTAAATGCCACCCCAACTCCTGCTTTGTTAAAGATCCTACGTGGGGTTTTGGATGTCCCTTTCCCATATGGTGAAACCGTAAATACCTTAAATACTTATTTGTTATGGTCAACAGTTACACTAGAAGTTTTCTCTTTCTTGTGAACTTTTGTGACCTTAATGAATTTTATGAGATGGTTATTTCGCATCAACGCTTCTTCTGTTTCATTTCATTATTTAGGATTCGCAATGTACTACTTAGAGTTACTGCTCAGAGTATCAAACACTTAAGCAAGCCTACCTTTACGGATAACGGAGGAGATAAATTAAAGTCTAAATAGCTATTAGTGTTGGCTTTTTATAAACACCAGTAGACTTTCTACCTTCTCCTGCTCGTTTTATTTTTTAATCAAATTTTCCTTGTTCATGTTCTGAGTCAGATGTAAATTTTATTCCCACTACTAATGAGTTTATGTGTTAAGAAACTAGAGATATGTCTTATTTTTAACCCTATGAAAGTGTTATCCACATATCTTCACCACATATGTGAGATAGGAATGAATGCATCAAGAGCCATATTTTCACAACTGTACATATCAGCTACGAATGGGATTTGGTTGACGACATTGCCACCTTTCTGTTTGTCTACATATTTCGCCCTTAAATTTGAAGAAAATAATGGAACTATATAAACGAAGTTTGAAAGTTACGTAACTTACTGTGATTTCGAGAAACATATGATGTTTGAAGCGCTACTAGCAAATAACACTGTATCACTGTGTGCTTTTAGTTATTAAATTCACTCTATAATGAAAGTATTTTCCCCCCGTTTTATTCCAAGTTTAATGCTCTGAAAAAATTTTGCGGCCTGTCCCGTAACGCAGTTATGCTTGGTAATATGATATTTGAGCAGATAATTTTCAGAATAATGATAGCTACTGCTGACCCAACAATAAAAGTTCTGAAAAATGTCAGCAGGTGCTGAACTGATAGCACACAGTATTTACTCATCACGGTAATACCACTCTTTCAGATTTTATCAGCATTACCTCTGCATTATTGTTAGCTTAACATTACAGCAAACATATTGGTTGATTTCGCAGGAGGAGTGGGCACAATACGCGTAAGACAATCATTGATGAGACAAACATACACACTATGGTACTATAAAGTGTCTATATTAAAATACTAATCTAAACTCCACCTGCTCATGAATGTGCTGCTGTACATGCATGAACATAAGGAGTCTCTAAAGTACTCTGCGACGATAACCATAGAAGTCATTAGAATGAGAATATACTATCCATATATGAGTACTACGCAACACTTACCCATGTGTTCTAAAAAACATTACCCACTTTTTCTCAATTCACTCGTGTCACTTCCGAAAATGAAACTTTCTCCCATTTTACCCAGCTTTGAACGAAAAATTGCCCATATTTTTACCTACTTTATCCATATTCACAAAATAAGCGAAAAAAGTTGCAACCACGGAGTGCGGAAGCAAGGGCGGCCTTGAGACGACCAATGGAAAGCCACTTGTTTACGAGAAAATTACCCAAAATAATAATGAAACACCCTATTCCCAACCCTAACCCTAAACGCACTCCTTACCTTGACCCTAACACTAATCCTAACCTTAACATGCTATCAACTCAATGTTCGAACAGTACTTAAAACAGAGAACGGGATGCAATTTACATCTCAGTCCGCGCACAACATTCATACTGGCACTGTAAAACGAAAGGTTCTACGATCCAAAGAACGATGTGCGCACAAGGTAACTGGTGTGTTCGCACTCCATGGTCGTTGTTCTTTGCCTCCAAAGCCTCAGGATGGTCGGGGGTGGGTGCCTTGCGCTGCGGGTTGGCCACGCCTCCGCACACCTCTTGAAATGCTCCCATATGACCAGGCGTCTTACATAGCCTCTCCTGAGGAAGTCCTACTCACTGCCTTCACGTGGCGGAGGTGTTTTTCACCAAAGTGAGAGGGCGAAAGCGGATGCCCGGCGCTCTTCACCGGGTTGACTGTCCATTAGATGACAGTCTAGGGGAGAAGGCTAAACTCTGATTCCAAACCTCCAACGACTGGCGTATGAAGCTTACTGGAGCTCACCGGCAGATGTATGGACAAAGGGCTTGTTGGATGTCCTGGATGTCTGGCCCCATTCAAAAAGGCGTATGAACCGAATTCCGGTCAGCGGCTGCCAATGGATAGTGGACTCCCTACTCCACTCCTACTGCCTTGTAGGTCACACTTGGTTGTGTAAAGGCTAGAGCTGCACTCTCAAACAAAAGGCCGAGCAATTCTGGGGACATCACTCGTACCAAATTCCCATGAAACTTCATAAACTCTCTTACAAACGATGATTCGAGATGTTCATGAAGCCGGCTCATCCTCCCGTAGGAGATAGCCGAAGTAAAGTAAAGTAAGTAAGTCGTTGTTCTTTAGATTGGTTCAAAAATTTGTATGACTAGGTCCATTCCCAAATGTGCAATAACATGGACAAAACTGGGATATTTCTAGGGAAAATGATGAAAAGGGGGGGATATTTTTGAAGGGGAAAATAATTAGAAAAAAGGCGATTAAGGAGGAAACCCTTAATATATGCTCTGGACTATGTAGGTTGCAGATAAATTGTCAGTAGTTCATATTTCATTTGCAAAACAAGGTATACTGTTTCGTTTGAGAAAGCCATTAGTGTTTTGATGAAGTGTTTCACATGAAATCATCTAGGAACTTTTATTTTTTTTAAAAACTAGCATATTAATTGCCCTTAATATTGTACTCATACAGCTGTTTTCTGTTTACGCATTACAGCTTATGTGAATGAAGAAATATGAATTCCACGAATGATTCTTGCCACTCCGTGTCGGTACTGAAGATGTGAAGATTTGAATTCAGAAAAATTGTTGTCAGTTCATTAAGTCATTTTAAATAAGGTATATGTGCTGCTTTCTAAGAAGCATTTCTCCTAAATTAGTGTTCACTCGAACTTATATCCAGAATCAAACGAGAACTACACCGAATGTAGTAGTAATCCCTCAGTATTAGGATAATTAGAATTCAGACACCCAGTCCGTCATACCACAAGCATACGTATATATATATATATATATATATATATATATATATATATATATAATCCTCAACCAAATTGAGACACAGATACACACTAATGCACGTACATTTAGTAATTGTCACATTTTTCGGAATAACCAATGGCGTTCGAATACAGACACAATAATCAGCATACAATTTTCAACTGTCACATTTGTGGGAACGATCAGTAAAGTTAGCATTATTATTATTATATTATTGTTCCCTAGGGTTCCTAGTGGAACATAGGGCTTCAACTGCACGTCTCCACTTGCTTCTGTCTTCTGCTGTAATTTTCACTTGCGTCCATGTTATTCCATACTGTTTCATCTCCTCCTCACACGATCTCCTCCATGTCACCCTTGGACGTCCCACTCGCCGCTTCCCTTTCGGGTTCCACTCGAGGGCCTGACGCGCGATGTCACCCAACGGCCTCCTCAGCGAGTGTCCAATCCATCTCCACTTTCTCCTGCATATTTGTTGGGCGATTGGTTCCTGTTTCGTTTGTTCCCATAGCTTCTTGTTTGTGATTCTTTCCGGCCATCTAATCTTCAGTATGGAACGAAGACAGTTGTTGATAAAGGTGTGCAACAGGCTGTTGAAAATATTCTTGGTGACCCGCCAAGTTTCTGATCCGTATAGAAGAACTGACTTGACGTTTGTATTGAAAATCCGAATTTTGTTGTTGATGTTGAGTGACGAAGATTTCCAGATTGGTTTCAGGTTGATGAATGTGTTTCTCGCCTTCCCGATTCTCGATTTGACATCCTCGTCCGTTCCTCCTGTGGTTGAGACAATGCTCCCTAAATAAGTGAATGAAGTAACCTCTTTCAAATCCCTCCCGTTGATGGTGATTGGCGCTGGATGTTGCTGATGCTGTTGTTGGTTGGTTATTTTCATAACCTCCGTTTTGTCTATGTTCACCTGGAGTCCTGTCTTTGCTGCTTCTTCGACCAGTTTGTCGGTTTTTGCTTGTAAGTCTTCGATTTTGTGTGACATCAAACATAAATCATCCGCGAAATCCAGGTCTTCTAGGTTCTTCACGTCGGTCCAGGATATTCCTGTCTTCTCGTTTCCCACTGTCTGACGCATAATCCAGTCCACCACAATTAGGAATATCATTGGTGATAATAAGCACCCTTATCTGACTCCTGTGTTTACTCCAAACGCTTCGCTGAGTTTTCCGTTGTGGATCACTTGACATGTGCCGTTGTCGTACAGTTGTTGAATAAGGTTGATGAATATTTGGGGTACGCCGTAGTACTCGAGTAGTTTCCAAATTACTTCGCGCTCAACGCTGTCGAAGGCCTTCTCAAAGTCTATGAAGTTGAGGTAGAGGTTTGATTGCAATTCCATGCTTTGTTCGATGATAATGCGTAGAGTTGCGATTTGGTCAGAACATGATTTGCCTTTCCTGAATCCAGCTTGTTAAAGTTAGCATAATTAATATTAATGCATCTCATGCTATTGCATGCAGAGTTAGAAAGCGAACCAGTATGACTCATTGTTTTATGAATGGATTAGATCTGATTATATCAGCACAGCATATAAGAACATACATCGCTAACTGTAATAGTAAAGTAACATTTTGTTTATGTGTATCACAGTCATCTAGGAAGCGTGCACTTTGAAATACCACACGATGCAGGTAAATAGTTGCTCTGGTGCCTAACGATGCTTTCAAAAGTCCAACTCTAAATACCCTTTGTTGAGTATGAATAGATTACATGAATGTGACCGTCTAAATTGCAATTCCCTAGTGTAATGGAGGTTTAAACGTAACTATCAGCAGTCACTGGCAGAGACGTCAAAGGAAGATGGCAGACCTGCCATTGTCCCTACGAACATCGAAGCTCCCATGATTAGTAGAACCATCGGCATGGAAGCCGAAGAACTGCAAAAACCATTTTGCAGTAGCCTGACACCTGTTGCCAGTACTTCACAGATATGTCCACAATGGAGCATTCTGAATGTCACAAAATGACGAATATGCCACATAAGACCATGGTCACCAAGGAAATGTTACCAGATAATGGTAATATGACTTTGGACATCTCACCTGAAAACTGGTCTCAGCTGCCTACGAGAGAGCATGTGGATCCTGAGAATCAAGGTAGATTGGAGGAGGTGTACTGCCACTTAGGACTCCGGGAATGTCTGCTGCGTCATACGGAAATGTCTATGAGAAATGGTCCCCTCTACAAGACTGATTTGCAACTGAACGCCAACAGTTTGCCACGTTTAATTCTTTCAAACAGCAGGTGCGGCATCTTTCAAATAGTAGCACGTTTCCTAAGTAGTGCATTCTTAATGGGCATATGCGGTGGTGCTCGCAAACCTAGCAGTTTCAAGGACTTCCGAGGTGACATAGTACATGAGCTCAAATATATAATAAGCCAAGGTATACATTAATGTCAGTAAAAAGATTGACCTATTCCACAATGTCCAACCTTTTTACTGACATTAATTCAACTGATGGTCTTCCCATTAAAAGATTGGCCAACAAACTCACACAGTTATATCAAGCTGAATCTCGATTTATGAACCATCCAATTTTCAAGGTATACATATTAGAAGACGAGACAGGCACTTCAGCGTTTATTTGAAAGCTGTCATCTGTGACAGACCAACCATAGCAGACGTCGAAATGGTTATAGGTCATAATGGTTGTGATGGATGCGACAAATGCCTGTTAGAAGAAAAGGAACTTGACGGATGAATGACCTTCGAAAATGGAAATTTTCAGTGTAGGAGTAATGGTAGCTTCCGCCACAGAAACCAGTCAAGTCATCACCGAGGAAGCTCTGTTTTTCAGAATTTAACGATTGATATGGTTAAATGTTTCCCATTTGATCCCATGCACGCAGTATATTCACGTGTAATCAGGAAGCTAATAAGCCTTTGGCAAGATTTAGCAAAAAGTAGGGAGAGGTACGTAAACAGGGGTTTACTGAAAGCCATATAGAGGAAGATATTAGATAGCGATAGACTGACACCTCCAGACTTCCAAAGAAAGTAACTAAACGCCGCATTTGCCCCTTTTACCTTGGACTTGTCTCATTTAAGGACATTATGCCACCTAGCATATATGGCAAATCCCATAGATATGATAGAGAAGATTTGTAGCTCAGGTGGATGATTTTGATGTGGTTGTGTTCTCTGAGCTAGATAGTTAATTTGCGAAGCTTCAATTTGAAGTATGCGCTGAAGATGTCGCCTAGTAGGGCGATGAAAGCTTCGCAAATTAACTATCCAGCTCAGAGAACACAACCATATCAAAATCCCATAGACTTAGTCTAGTATATTTAGGAGCTTAAGCTTTTGAGTCGCATAAGGAACACCAACAGTGATAGCACCGACCAAATGACAAGTAAGGTAGCTTCATTTAAATAATAATTTCAGCCGTCAATCTTAGGTAGTTCGTGTCTGTCACACAGCCTGAAGACAGCTGGAGATACGCTTGGAGCGATCACTAAGGAGTACATGCACAAGGTCCGTAACAGCGTAGCCAAAAGTACAAACAGGAAAAGAGCAAACGTAGATTTTGGTGGTGTACTTAGGTTAACACTGTTAGAAGTTTAAATATATACTGTGCAGACAAAATCTGATTTTATTTTAAAAGGTTGTTGAAAACACCACGACAAATGACGTGGGGAGTGCTTCCGTAAGGGATACACTTATTGCATGGAGGTAAAGTTGGCTATATTGTTATCACGTTGTTAACACCTATGCTATAAGAAAAAAGCGAATATGTACATGTGAAATTAGTAACCGTCTATTTGCGTTAATCATGATTTCGCTGTAGTCAAAGAGACCAATAAACTTAATAAGTACTAAAAAATTTCTTACTACACCAGTTCCAATATAAAAAATTTGTGAAGGGAATTTTGGACAAATGCAACATATTTCCCAAGACCCAAGAAACTCAAAACTCATACATGTGTCCTAAAATTTCCCTAAATAACTAAATACTGCCACCAAATCTTTTCATTAGGACTGCTATTGTAACCGAGAAGGCAAATCATAAGTGAGACTATTTGTGAGAAAAATGGCTCCTTGATTAGCTCTCAGGATAGACGCCTCGAACGCTGGAAAGAACACTTCGAGGAACAGTTTAACTTGCCTACAGCCACACTGAGCCTCCCCGCCATCCAGCACACACCCGAATGGGACATAGACACTGGCCCGCCGTCTGTAAGTGAGGTCACCAAAGCAATCTGTAATTTGAAACGAGGCAAAGCGGCAGGACCCGACGGAATTATTCTTGAGGTGTTTAAATATGGGGGTGACATACTAGTATATAGTTTAACTAAGGTACTAGGTAACGTCTGGGAATCAGAGACGGTTCCATCAGACTGGGGTAAGTCACTTATTATACCAGTATTCAAGAAGGGAGACAAGTCCTCAAGTGATAATCATAGAGGAATCAGCCTAACGAACATAGTCTCTAAAATCCTAGGCTCAGTAATCATGAACAGACTAAGCCGAACTCGGGAGGAACAAACGAGGGAAAATCAAGCGGGCTTTAGGCCAGGTAGAGGGTGCATAGATCATATCTTCACTCTCCGACAGATCCTAGAACACAGACACGCTTTCAGGCGTCCAACAATTGCCATATTTCTTGACTTGAAGGCGGCCTTCGACTCCGTGGATCGAGAGGTACTATGGCAATGTTTGACTATGAAGGGAGTGCCAAGAAAGTACATTGCACTAATCAAGGCACTCTACTCAAACTCACGTAGCTGTGTAAGGGCTTATGGGGAATTGTCATCTGAATTGATAACAACCAGTGGTGTCCGTCAAGGATGTCCACTTTCCCCTTTTCTGTTTAACTTCATCATAGATATGCTAATGGAAGTATCCTTAACTGAACATAATGACTTAGGAATCGACTTGTTACCGGGGAATAGTCTTATAGACTTAGAATACGCAGACGACATAGTCCTGTTAGGAGAGGACGCTGACAAAATGCAGAGTCTTCTGAACACCTTGAGCAGCAATCTTCATATGTTTGGCATGCGATTCGCCCCTGTGAAATGTAAAATGCTGCTACAGGACTGGACTACGTCAATTCCTAGCTTAGTGATAGGGAGTGAAGTGATAGAACATGTTGACCACTTCACCTATTTGGGAAGTTGTATCAGCACCAACGGATTGATTGGTGACGAAATCTCACCACGGATCCAGAAAGCTCGGGCTGCTTTCGCTAACTTACGCCGTCTCTGGCGTAGGCGTGACATCCGGCTGTCAACCAAGGGACGTGTGTACTGCTCAGCAGTTCGCCCCGTCCTTCTCTATGGCGGTGAGACATGGCCATTGAGAGCCGAAGACATGAAGAGATTGTCTGTTTTTGACCATAGATGTCTACGATCTCTTTCTCACGTTAGGTGGTATAATAAGGTAAGTAATGTTGACGTTAGGCGTAGAGTGTTGGGCAAAGAGGGAAAAACACTCGAAGAGGCTATGAAGTTACATAGATTGAGATGGTTAGGTCACGTGCTGCGCATGCCTAACCATCGTCTTCCCCGACGGGCATTACTAACTGATATAGGTGCAGGTTGGAAAAG